CTCTTGTTGGCTTACTCTTTTAATGGACTGGTGCAGTTCCAAGAACCAGAACAAAATCTTGCAAGTATTTTTGAGGCTTAAACAAGGAACGGTATATTATCACTTCCACTGCATTATTTTGATCAAATCAAGTAAGAAGGCCAAAAGAATGAGCAAATAGGCTTTCTCTCTTTAAAAGATTTGTTTATTTATTTGAAAGGCTGCGTTATTGGGGCTGGCATTGTAGCATAGCAGGTTAAGCCTCCATCTGCAGTGTCAGCATCCCATATGGGCACCAGTTTGGGAGCTGGCTGCTCCACTTCTGATCCAGCTCCCTGCTAATGCGACTGGGAAAGCAGCAGAAGATGGCCCAAGGGCTTCGGTCTCTGCACCCATTTTGGAGATCCAGAAGAAGCTCCTGGCTTTAGCCTGTCACAGCCCTGGCTGTTGCAGCCATTTGAGGAGTGAACTAGTGGATAAAAGGTTCTCTCTCTCTCTCTTTCTCTCTCTTTCAAATAAATAAAATAAATGTTAAAAAAAAAAAAGAAAGAAAGAAAAGAAAAAGAAAGGCTGAATTATAGAGACAGAGAGAAAGAGAGACTTTCCATCTGCTGGTTCACTCCTCAAATGGCCACAATGACCAGGACTGGGCTAGGCTGAAGCCAAGAGCTTCATCCAGGTCTCCAACATGGGTGGCTGAGACCCGAGAAATTGGGCCTGGGCCAGCATTGTGGTGTAGTAGGTTAAGCTGCCTCCTGTGATGCTGGAATCCCATATTGGTGCTGATTTGAATCCCGGCTGCTCCATTTCCAATCCAGCTCCCTGCTAATGGCCTGGGAAAGCAGCGGAGGATGGCCAAAGTGCTTGGGCCTCTGCACTGATGTGGGAGACCTGGAAGAAGCTCCTGGCTCCTGGCTTCTGCCTGGCCTAGCCTTGTCCATTGAGGCTATCTGGGGAATGAATCAGTGGATGGAAGATCTCTCTATTTCTCTCTCTCTCTTTCAAATAAATAAATAAATCTTAAAAAAAAAAAAGAAAAGAAAGAACTTAGGCTATCTTCCACTGCCTTCCCTGGATAATACCAGGGAGCTGGATTGAAAGCAGAGCAGCCAGGACTCAGTCAGGACTTGAACTGATTCTCCCATGGGATGGCAGCATCACAGGCAGCAGCCCAACCGGCTGTACAATAACGCTGCCCCTAGACTCTATCTCTTGACAGGAGAAACTACAAAGTTACAGAGTCACATCCAAGGGCATGGAAACTGCAGAAGAATTTGTGACTCTTTCCACGAATTGCAACAAGGAAAGTCATTTGGATCTGCTATCAAGAGAGAAAACTGTCATTTAGAAAGTTTCAAATCACCAGTATCACCAACTTGTCTACTCTGAGCTGAAGTTCCTACATTAGTATGATTGTTATGGATGATTTGATGATAACGTTTGCTCCAGGCAGCAAAAGGTTGGAGGCTGTGATGCTGTCATTTAAAACAGCAATATTGAAGAAGCATGGAATATTTAAATATCCTGGAATATTTACTGCAGGGAATTTTAGAGATGATGTAGTCCAGTTCCTTAACATTAGAACTTTTATAAAATTAAATTTCCTTATTGGTTTAAAAAATCAAACAGTAAAAAAAAAAAAGCTTTGAAATAAAAAAGGTCACTTTCTGCTCATGTTCTATTTCTCAGAAGCAACTTTTAACTGTTTCTTCTTGCATTTAATCTTGTAATTCATAGGTAATGTGCACTTGATGTTCTTTTGATTCATTACTTTTGACAGATCCTACATTAGAAGAGAATTTTAGCTATTTTAATTACTCCTATTCTCTCATGTCTTCTCTCATGTCCTCTACTCTCATGTCTCATGTCTTACTTGACCCACATTTGGGGTTTTTATGAAGATTTCTGTAATAGGCTAATGTCTCCCCCAAGTAGTCATGTACTAATGCCCTGAACCCAGAAATACTACTTTATTTGGCAAATGAGACCTTATAGATATGATGAGGTTAAGGACCTTGGGATCCAGAGATCACTATAAAGGTTATATATTTCTATAAAAAGGGAGGCAGAGTGAGATGTGACACAACGAAGGCAATGTGAAGACTGAAGTAGGCTCTGCTGTAGTATATGTTTATAAACGGTAAAGATGGTTGAGTAATGAAAAAACCTTGGGCTCTTTCAGGTTCATCATGCTGCATCTCCTCATTTCTCTCTGCTCCCTGTCCCTTTCCCCTTTCCCTAAGCTACCACCAACCTACTTTCTGCCTCTTTAATTGATTTATTTGAAAGGCAGAGTTATGAGAGGAAGAGGGAGAGGAGGCGAGAGAGGGGAGAGAGGGAGAGGGAGGGGGGAGAAAGGAGGGAGAGAGAAGGGGGGAGAAAGGAGGGAGAGAGAGGGAGAGAGAGAATCTCTTCCATCTGCTGGTTCACTCCCTAAATGACCACAACAGCTGGGCCTGGGCCAGAATGAAGCCAGGAGTCTAGAACTCCAACTGGATCTCCCACATTAGCAGGGAGCTGGATAGAAAGTACAGCAGCTGGGATTTGAACTGGTACTGGATACCGGCATTGCAGACAGTGGCTTAATGCCCTGTGCCACAAAGCCAGTCCCTACTTTCTACCTTTATGGATTCCCCTAGTCTGTACATCTCATATGGATGAAATAATACGTGTTGTCTTATGTGGCCTCTTTGATTTATCACACTTTTTTGAGGTACATCCATATTATAGTGTGAATCAATACTTCTTTTTTATGGCTGAATTATTTCATGTTCATAGATCACATTTTATGTTCCCATTCATCTGTTCATGGACATTGAGTTGTATCCACCTTTTGGCTATTATTAACAATGCTGCTTTAAACATTCATGTACAAGTTTCTGTGTTTCTCCTTTTTTTTTTTTTGCATTTTTTCTATATACCTAGAAGAATTATTACTGCATTCCCTGATATCTGCAATTCCTAAGCTTCTCTGTTAGTTCCTGGAGTTTGATTTTCCTCTGCTCTGCCAAGTAATTTGTCTTTCTTTTACTTTTACTTACTTTCCATTAACATCTGTGATTTGTACTTGCAGATAACCTCTAGTTCAAAGAAGATGGCATTTGTGTCTATTTTGTATTCTCCTTGTTTTAGAAAGGAATATTTTCCAGAAATATTTTTACTCTCTTCAGTTCTAGAAGTGGGGGAAATTTAATATCTAAAAAGATGAAATAAATGATCTTATCACTCTAAGTTAACAAACAAGTGAAACCCAGATTTCCTGATTCCCTGAGCAAAATGAAAGTTTCTACCCAGAATGCTCTAATTATTGGAAAGATGTTATCCATGAAACATGTTTTCTTCACTTTCACATGTTTTCTTCACTTTCACATGTTGTATCTAGTTCTGTCCATAGATGTTACAAAGAACAGAAGACTGGCTTTCATAGTCTGGAAAAAGGACACTAACTCACTGCCTGTGATTCTTTGTATAACCTGTAATTAACAGTTTACCAACAGAATGGAAAAAAACCTCAAATCCTTCATAACAAAGATTGGGCCAATTAATAAACAATCACCGTAGCGTACAAAAACAGTTTCTCAGCTAGGCAGTTAAGATTAAAAAAGATTGCCATGTTGGAGAAGGAATGATTATCATATGAGTCATGGAAAGATTCCTGAAGAAAAGTGGGAGGAGGTAAAAAATTATCAAGTGACTATTATGGGCAGATGAAGTAAGTTACTCAGAAAAATGGAGAAAAAGCTCAAATCTCATTACAAAGACTGGGACTCTTTCAAATACATCTTTAAGAAATATATAGTTTGGCCACTATGAGTATTTAGTACTTCATGTGTAAGAAACCTTTTGAAGTAGATATGGTTACTGTCCCATTTTAAAGATGAGAAGGAGGCATAGGAATTTGAGATTAATCAACATTAGATAGCTAATAAATGGCAGAGATGTGTTCTGAACCCAGAGACTGTGCCTTCCTCTTATTAAGAAGTCTCATCATGAATGGCCTTTTTATTCTGAAGGTTCTGGGACTTGTTAGGTAGAAAGATCTTTCCTCTTCATCCTTGGCTCATCCATTAAGGGAGGATTTGAAATGAGATAGGTGGTCAGAGTTTATGGAGCTACCGTGGAGGCCAGAGGACTGTACCAAACTCTGATACTCCACATATAACCTGGGGTTGGAAAGCCAGATTTGCTTATTACAGGCAGCCTCAGCACAGAAATTTCAAGTTGTCAGAGTCACCTCTCATCCCACTGAAGAGGAAAGGGAATTGAAGCTAAAAACGGGAGAATGAGTATTGGTGGCAATGAGTATTTCATGCTAGTTATTTTTGGCTATTGTTCTATGCTTCCCATGAACCTTGCATGAAAATGTGTATGAAAAAATAGACATTCCACAATGAAACTCCCACTAATCAAGTGTTGGCAGGCATTCACTCATTTAATTCTCACGTGAACCCTTGGAAATAGTTATTATTCTTATTTTTCAAATAGGGACACGGAAGCACAAAGATGATATACAACTTGCCTAGCTGTACAGCAAATTAATGGGAGAACTAAGTAAAGCTAGAAAGAACTACAATATTGTATACAAGTACAAAACAATCAGTTAAATGTGAGTACTCCTGACGCTGTAGCAGAAAGAACCCCACATTGATCAGGAATTGAATTCAGGTTGCAATAATTACTGCGGTTTTCAGACTTGGGGCCGGTCATTCTGCAGCTCAATTTCCTCTTCTATGAAACAGGTATCATGTTACCTCATAGGGTTTTCTAAGAATCTAGTAAAGTGATGGCTGTAAAGCGTACTTAACTGTTAAGACAAACGTCAGAAACACTTCGCGCCAGCATTGTACTTGCAAATTTGGGATCCGGACTATCAGCCGCCAACATGCGGCTAATTCCCCTCCCAGAACCGGCGCACGACCTTCTGGGACTCGTAGTTTTACACCGCATTATCCCGCCTTTCCCCCCCCACCTCGCAAGCGGAAGTGGCCGGAAGTCCCGGAAGTAGTAGTCGCCGTAGCGGCATGCTGGGTAGGGAGGGAGGGTCAGAGGTCGTCGGGGCAGACGGCGTTCTTGCCGCTGGCCCAGTCGCTATGTAGTGGAGAGGCAGGCTCCCTCCTGCAAGTTCTGGAAGGTTCTTGGGCTCGATTAGGGCAGAATCTCCAGGACTCTTAGTCGTCGGCATCAAGACCTTGCCGGCTGAGCAGTGCCGCCGCCGACGCCATGTTTGGCTGCTTGGTGGCGGGGAGGCTGGTGAGGATGGGGCTGGTGGTGTCAAGAAGAGGTCAGGAGGGTGAGGGCGAAGCCTAGGGCCGGGAGATGGGGTTGCGGAGTGCGTTGCTGCTAGGGATGCGGTGAAACCACTCGCGGTCTACTTTTTTGGCTGTGTACGGATGGAGAACAGGACTTTGGGATGCTCTAATTTACCCAACTCTGTGCAGATTGGTTTGAGTAGTAGTATTATTAACTGCCATTTATTGAGTATGCATTTTGTAACAACTGCTGGGCCTAGTGCCATGCATGCCTGTCTTCAGTTGTTTTAGTAATTTGTGTAGCTCTTGACAGCTCAGATTTAACCCTCATAACCTGTGAGAAGGTCTTTATCGTTCCCATTTTGCAGTTGAGGAACTTCGGTTCAGTTGGCAGTATATAAATGCTCTCCAGGCCCATAACGTGAGTTGTTTGTGAACCTGGGAATCCAATCTAAGCTGTACTCAAACTTCCAATGTTTTCGGGCGATGTGTATTTTAAAGACCCTTTGGAAGGACCTTAGTACCAATGTACTTAATGTAATTTGAAGTTAGCTTGGGGAAAAACCCGAAACTTAGGTGTGAGCCGTATCTGAGATGCCCGGAGAATGATGCCAGCAAAATGGTTTGTAATTGGTCAGAAGAGATAACCAGCCTTGCTGGATTGTTAGAATTCAGTGAGATCAGCACCTGGAATTGTTTAGCAACAAACTGGAACCAGAGTCTGGAGAGTGAATCTTGTTTCCTTAGAAACTACCCAGGCATAGTTTTCCACACCTGACTCCTTTCTCCTAGAATTCTGTCTCTTTTTAAAATTTTCTTGCTTTATTAAACGTTATAGTCTTTTTTTTTTTATTTGTCTTTATCAGCTTTTGATTACGTGTTGTATTCTGCACAGGATTCTAAGAAATTGAAAGGAAAGTAGAGACAACTAGCTTTAGAAAGTGTGTCTCTTGAATGACTGGGAGACCCAGGTGGGGATGGTGGTAGTTGCTAATCCTGGTGAGATCATTTTGGATTGCCCTTGCTCATGATAGAGAAAAATGAAAGAGCCAACCTGGGGTGATTATGGTACTCAGATGAGTGCCATTAATGAACGATGTTATCAATAATATGTATTTATAAGAATAAAAGGCTATGGGCAATTCATGCATCTCATGTCGTCAACTAATTTGGAAAGAAATTTAGTTATAGCAACACCCATGGCTTTTTACCCAGCACCTGATTTCTATGATGTATAACTAGTAGAAGTTTCTTCAAGCCAGGACTCCTTGAAAGTGTTTGGTTCTTTATTTCTGTATGTTAGAATGCATTAATGAAAATGAAGGACAAATAGTCTTAGCAACATCTCAAAACTTAACTATTATTTTTTTCAAGTAAAATCCACGTTTGAAGTTATGAACCTAGTTTTCACTCAGAAGTTTTTCTTAAGTAGGGAGGTCCTTTTTTTTTTCTTAATGTCAAGGATTAGAATGTCATAATACAGAATTACAGATTGTTTGAAGCCTTGTACAGAATTGACACTTAAAAATATTTATTTGGCCTGATGATTATTTCAAGACTCATAAACAACATAGTTTTTCATGCTTTCTGAAGTTATATGTATGCTAAATGGTGGTAAAATTGGATTTAATACTAATAGTAGCAGTTTGACTAATTGTATTCTTTGTTTTATTCTTTACACTTAAATTGGAGGGTTTTAAACGGGTCAGAAAACTTCAGAAGAAAGAATGAGAACTTTTAAGAACATTCAACTTCAGTGTGGGATTTAATTCAGAGCAGTTGATAGTACTTTATAACTAGTTATGAAGTTATGTTGCAGTATATTTTCTCTTAAGCTTCTTTATATTAGTTGACAGTCTATTATAAAGGAAACAAGTATTTTAGTAACAACCAGCAAATAATAAGAGCAGAAATAGCAGCAGAAAATAAGTTGGAGTCTAGGTAATAGTAATTGACCATTTAGTCTTAAAAAATAATAATGGTGGGTTAAGCACTGTAGTGCAGTGGGTTAATGCCCTGGCCTTAAATGCCGGCATCCCATGTGGGAGCAGGTTCTAGTCCCAGCTGCTCCTCTTCTAATCCAGCTCTCTGCTAGGCCTGGAGAAGCAGTAGAAGATGGCTCAAGTCCTTTGGCCTCCGCACCCACGTAAGAGACCCGGAAGAAGCTCCTGGCTCCTGGCTTTGGATTGGTGCAGCTCCAGCCGTTGCGGCCAGTTGAGGAGTGAACCAGCAGATGGAAGACCTCTCTCTGTATCTACCTCTCTAACTCTTCCAAATAAATAAATAAATAATCTTTTTTTTTTTTTTTAAATTCCCTTTATAAAAAAAATGATAATGGTAATTCAGATTTGGTGTTTTGGTGATGAGAGTTACAATAGCAATTAATAAACAAGAGAAAAGATCTTATATAATTTTTACAGAATTGTATAATTCAGAATTAATACTTCTTTTAAGATTTATTTTATTTTTATTTTTTTGACAGGCAGAGTAGACAGTGAGGGACAGAGAGAAATGTCTTCCCTTTCTGTTGGTTCACCCCACAATGGGCCACCACGGCTGGCGCGCTGCGGCCAGTGTGTCGCGCCAGTCTCAAGCCAGGAGCCAGGTGCTTCTCCTGGTCTCCCATGGGGTGCAGGGCCCAAGGACCTGGGCCATCCTCCACTGCACTCCCTGGCCACAGCAGAGAGCTGGACTGGAAGAGGAGCAACTGGGACAGAATCTGGCGCCCCGACTGGGACTAGCCTGGTGTGCTGGCGCTGCAGGTGGAGGATTAGCCTAGTGAGCTGCAGCGCCGGCAAGATTTATTTTATTCGAAAGAGTTATACAGAGAGAAGGAGAGGCAGAGAGAGAGAGGTCTTCGATCTGCTGGTTCATTTCCCAGATGGCCGCAACAGCTGGAGCTGTGCTGATCAGGAGCCAGGAGCTTCCTCCAGGTCTTCCCATGTGGGTACAGGGGCCCAAGGATTTGGGTCATATTCCACTGCTTTCCCAGGCCATAGCAGAGAGCTGGATCAGAAATGGAGCAGCTGGGTCTCGAACTGGCACCATATGGGAAGCTGGCACTGCAGACGCAGGCCTTACCCACTAGGCCATAGCGCAGGCTCCATTACTTTTTGCTAATGGATGAAAATACCAATTTTCAGTAACTTTCTAAAAGTATACAAATTTTTTCCTTGAAAGTAAATTTTCTTAAACATCAAAATAAGATAATATGGTTTTATTTTATAAACTGTTTAATTCTAGAGCAGAAAATTAGTTTTTTGAAATGAATCAAGAAACTTTAGAAGTTCCCACATACCAAGTTCAAGGTAGAATTTTTACATTTAATCAATTTAAAATAATTTTTCTTATATAAAATCAATTCTCATTCTTCCCAGTAGTTATGTTCTATAAAGAAGGTTTCTGTGACCACTAAAGTCACAGTTATATATTCTCTCTATGTATGTGTGTGGGTGTGTATGTATGAATGGTCACAGTTATAGTCTCTACACACACACATAGTTTTCTATATAGTTATCATTGCCTCAATTGGGACTTCCTACCGGCCTCTAGTTACAGCATTTTCAGTCAGCCTATAACAACCTTGTTTTAGGTGTGTTTCTATTTAGATACTTTAACATGTATTCGTGATTCATTAATATTCATGTTATGGCCAACAGCATTAAACTCATACCTGAATAAAACATATCCAACACACTTATTTTCTCTGAAAGGCATTTATTAGCATTAGTTGGCTTAGGAATACCAGGCGGCATTTTAGCTTGGCCTTTTTGAACATCAAAATCACCAACAAAAAACAAAAAATGCCAGCAGACACGCTTAATAGAGTAAGAAAAGGGACTCGTTCATAACTATAAGAACTGAAACAAAGCAGAGCATAGCCACCTGCTACCTCACCTGGGAATGTTAATCAGGCAACTCACATTTTTTGCTGTTTTGTCCTGCAGAGTAGTTGTTGAGAGGCCACAGAAGTGAAGCAAACATTGGTTTGGGGTTACAAATAAACTTTTGTGAATAGGTAAATTCATAAATACAGAATCTGAGGATAAAGAGGATTGACTAATTGCTTCTAGATTGCTTACCCATTGTAATTACCCAAGATTCTCTACTTTGAGACTGAAGGAGAAAAGTTTGGTATTCTGAATCTTTCATTTTTCAACATTCTAAATCTGAGTAAAATCTTTTCAGGGCATGTCAGAAATAGCATATTTTTGTAAAGATTGCATTAATAAGATGATCATTTAAGGCTCAATATATCCTTTTAACTCCCCATTTACAAAATGTCTGCTTAGTAGCAAAATATTAAGAAATATTTGGATGATTATTTCAGGACTCATCAACACCATAATTTTTCATGCTTTATGAAGTTGTATGCATATAACATTTTACCTGGTATAATAACTATAGTATACTGGAAACATAACTTTCAGTAATATTTTAAGAGTTACAGGAACTCATTGAACTATTGAACTAAGACGAGTTTCTTATTTTCTAGGTGCAAACAGCTGCACAGCAAGTAGCAGAGGATAAATTTGTTTTTGACCTGCCTGACTATGAAAATATCAACCATGTTGTTGTTTTTATGCTTGGAACAATCCCATTTCCTGAAGGAATGGGAGGGTCTGTCTACTTTTCCTATCCTGATTCAAATGGAATACCAGTATGGCAACTCCTAGGATTTGTCACAAATGGGAAACCAAGTGCCATCTTCAAAATTTCAGGACTTAAATCTGGTAAGAATAATATATTGAAATAGTTTTATAATTAAACTTTTTCTTAAATATCATTATATGGAACATGGCTTTTTAAACTTCCCATTTTTTTTATTGCTGAGGTAACATGCCTTTTTTTTTTTTTTTCCCAAAATTAAAAGATACAGAAGCAATTGAAAAATAGTGAAATATTTTTTGTGGCTCCTCACTCTTGCCCTCTGGTGATGGAGAGAGCCACTCATGTATAGATGTCTGTATGGTATTAACTTGTATAAAGAGATTATTTTATTAGTGTGTGTTTTAATAAATAATGAGAAGAATCTTCTTATAATTTATAATATACATCTGTGTTTTAAGTGCAGAGATGAACCAGGTAGACTTACATGGGGAATAGATTGGGAGTGCTTCTTTTCTTCCATTAAGATTTTTGAATTCTTGGAATTGAATGCTCCAATGTTTTTCCTTTGGTTCTGTTGAAATAGCAGGCACATATCCTTACTTTCATACTTTTTTGTGAAGAAATAGAGGGGACGAAAACAAGATAAGGTGCCATTTACTTCCATTAAATCTCTGATTCCCTTGAAAACCTAGATGAAGACAGACATGAAAATTCTTAAAATATACATTCTGCTAGAAATTGTCTATGAAGTCCAAGGAAAAATTTTATATAGGCAGCATGTATATAGCATGTTTATATATCATGGTTAACAAACATTTGGGTGTCTACTGTGAGGATTTAAAGATAATGGTTAAGTTCTTGCCTGAGCTGACTTACATTCTTATAGAAGATAGTTCTGCGGACTAGTGTTCAGAAGAGTGAAAAGAATTGGTGCATGTACAAAGTGCTGAGAGAATAGAAAAGGAAGCAATTAATCCTTAAGTCGGTTGGGGAAGGTTTCTTGGAGGAGATGACATTGGAGCTCTTGGGAAGTCAAATAAGAGTTTGTCAGGACTGTGAGAGCTACTGTGCGTTCTTCTCTAAGTAGGTAATAGGGGTATTGGGCAGGAGTTTGAAAGCATGATGTGCTCAGAATGGCACAAGGCGCAGAGTGTGTATGGGAAGGATAGACGTGGATCTGTAATGTTCTATGCACAACACTGATTCAGTTGATATTTAATAGGTCACTGATTTAAAAAAAATTAATTTGAGTGACAGCGAGAGAGAGGCACATGCATACATACACAGACAGGGAGATCCCATCCACTGGATCACTCCCCAAATATCTGTAATGCCCAGGGCTGGGCCAGGCCAAAAGCAGGAATTCAATTCAGGTCTCCTGTTTGGGTAACAGGAACAAAATTACCTGAGCCATTACCTGCTTCTCCCAGGATGCACACCAGAAAGAAGCTGGAATCGGCAGCAGAGCTAGGATTTGAACCTAGGCACTCTGTTTTGGATGTAGGTGTCTTAAGCAGCTTATTAACCATCAAGCATAAGGACTGGCCAGTTCAATAATTTTTTTTTTTTTTTTTGACAGGCAGAGTGGACAGTGAGAGAGACAGAGAGAAAGGTCTTCCTTTGCCGTTGGTTCACCCTCCAATGGCCACCATGGCCGGTGCGCTGTGGCCGGCGCACCGTGCCTATCCGAAGGCAGGAGCCAGGTGCTTCTCCTGGTCTCCCATGGGGTGCAGGGCCCAAGCACTTGGGCCATCCTCCACTGCAGTCCCTGGCCACAGCAGAGAGCTGGCCTGGAAGAGGGGCAACCGGGACAGAATCCGGCGCCCCGACCGGGACTAGAACCCTGTGTGCCGGCGCTGCAAGGCGGAGGATTAGCCTACTGAGCCGCGGTGCCGGCCCAGTTCAATAATTTTTAACATGCTTAGATTACAGACCTGTTTGATAGTATTATGAAAAAAAGTTAACATAATGTAAATGCTGAAAATCTATTTCTACTCTGATGCCCATTCATGTATCCTTCCCCCAAAAGAACTTTACTACAGTAGGTATACAGGAGCTAGTGAATAATAATTGATTTTTAGGCTGAGGACTCTGAATAATGAACTAGAGTAGTTCTGGCTGGATGGTAGACTGTTTTATTTGGAGTCCTACAAGAAGATATTAGAGATAACAACAGTTAAAGCTAAGAGTTAGAGTTGTTTAGAATTGATTTAAAATGCTAATCTCCAGATTTGAGGGGCAGGATAAGTCCCTATAGTCTTTCTTAGTGGGAGTTCCATGAGATAATTATTCTTTACTCTAAGGCAGTGGTTCTTAAAGCCTGGTTCCCTGATCAGCATCAGCATGGTCTGGGATCTTAACTAGAAATTCAGATTACTGGAAGGACCCTAGACCTACTAAAACAGAAGTTGACTGTGCAATCTAGCAGTCTGTATTTGGTTTTAGGTATCTGTGTTGCTTGCTAAAATTTGAGAGCCTGTTCTGAACACTGTCCGCAGTATGTAATGAATTAGCGCCTTTTATGCATGATATCATCATGTTATGTAATGAATTAGTGCCTTTGATACATAATATCATCATCTTAGTTCTGAGCAGCCTTTGGGACAACTAAGTAATCACTCCCACATCACTTTTTCTCTGTGTCTGTACCTAACGGTGGACAATCTGTAAGTAGAAAAGATATGAATATATAATTCCATTTATCTAATGAAATTACTGAACAGTAAATATAGAGAAAGTAACAGAACAGCCAGTGAAAAATGTCATTTATAGCTGAATAGCATTTTAATTAGGTTAGCAGACTTATCAAGAGCATTAATAGAGGCCAGAAAACAATAGGTTAGTATCTTCAGAGTGCCAACTAAAAACAAAAACTGAAAATTGTCATTCTGAAATGAAGGAAGATTAAATTATATTTTCAGAGACTTATTGAAAGAACTTCTGAAGAAAAGTTATACTTTAGAGAGGAAAATGAACCTAGAATGAGATGAAAAGGATACAAGATACAAAGTTATTAAAGGAATTAGTAAACAAGTAGACAAATCTGGACAACCTGATTGTATGAAACAGCGCAATTAAAGAACTCAAAATACAGCCAAGAATTAAATACTATTCTAGAAAATACAAGGCAAGAGGAGTAGTGATCTGAGTTAAAGTTTTCTGTGGGGGTCAGTGTTGTGGCATAGTGGGTTTAGCCACCATCTGTGACATTGGCATCCCATATGGGTGCTCTTTCGAGTCCCTGCTGTTCCACTTCAAATCTAGCTCTCTGCTAATGTGCCTGGGAAAACCGTGGAAGATGGCCCAAGTACTGGGGCTCCTGCCACCCACTTGGGAGACCCAGATGGAATTCCAGGCCCCTGATTTTGGCCTGGTCCAGCCTTGGCCATTGTGGCCATTTGGGGTGTAAACCTGTGGATATCATGCTCTCTAACTCTCTCTCTTTCTTTCTGCTTTTCAAATAAATTAAAAAAAAAAAGTTTTCTGAAGTCTAGATTCTTCACCCAGTTTCTGAAAGTTTGCAGAGAGTGATAATATTGATTCTACTTTTAAGTAATCCTGCTAAAAATTTTAAGAAAATAAGATTTACATCTTTTAATACTTAGAGTAAGTTAGAGGAAAGGTGATAGAGAAAGTAGTACATTAGAATACAGAATAGGAAGGAAAAGGGGAAAAGTAAGGGGAAAAACAGTGCTACAAATGAAAAACAATAGGATGGTAGGAATAATTTCAACTTTATCTGATATGAAAATAAATGTAAACAGACCAAGCATATAATAAAAACAGAGAGACTTCAAGGTGAGTTTTTTTTTTTTGACAAGCAGAGTTAGAGAGAAAGGTCTTCCTTCCATTGGTTCACCCCCTAAATGGCTGCTATGGCCGGCGCGCTGCGCCGATCCAAAGCCAGGAGCCAGGTGCTTCCTCCTGGTCTCCCATGCGGGTATAAGGCCCAAACACTTGGGCCATTGGAGGGGTGAACCAATGGAAAAAGGAAAACATGATACTGTGTTCAATAATCCTATCTGAGGATCAAAAACATCCCCCCCCCCCTCAGGTTTTGGGATATTTGCATTGGCTTCCCAGCTAAAGATCAGTAATTTGAGAATTTGAAATCTAAAATTCTCCAGAATCTCAAGTTGATGTTCAAAAGTTTGGGTTAGGAATGCTCAATCTGTTACCATACCTGAAATCAGATAGTAATTATTCAGTATTAAATAGTATATCTAGGATTACTATTCAAATTTCCAGTGGTCTTAAAATTTTATGTTTATTTGAAGTTCTAAAATACTTGAATCAATATCCTTGTAAGAATCCTTTATTGCAATTGATGAATCTCTCAAGTATCTTTTAGAAAAGTTAAAAGCTTAATTGTTTCCAAGATGGATTTACAGATTTGATCAGTTTGTTGATATTAAATTTTTTTGGTGTGTCATATAGAAGGTGGTATGTTCTTCCATTAGATAGCACATATTTGGGTATCTCTTATGAACACAGCAGCCATTTATATATAGTGTCTAGATCAGTTAATTCATTAGAGGTTCAAAATGATGGTATTCTAATTTTGTTTATTGTAAAGAGAAACCTGCACATTTACTGTTTGGTTTTTCAGGGGTATAATTATAAGAAAGATGGGATAAATGTGTGATTCTTTCTGTATGAGGATTAGAAAATGAATTGATTCCATAGCACCTTCCAAACATTGATTTTTAAAAAGAATTATGAAGTCATGCATATATGCTTGTGTATATGTGATTGATGTCTGATGTACTTTAACCATTATTATACAGTCAAAACCTATTGAATCCAATATTTTTCATTTTCCTTTTTAAGCAGACTGATATTTCGTGGTTTTTGTCTTAAGAAATCTGGTTATGAGTAGATTTTAATAGCTTTATGTAGGTGTGATACACAATAAATTGCACATATTTAAGTGTACAGTCTAAATTTTGATACGTGTACACATTTGTGAAATTATCATCACAATCAAGATAGTGAATGTGTGTCTCAGCCCTGAAAGTTTCCTGGTACTCTTTTGTAACCATCTCTCTTATTTCCTTCCCCACTGTTGGGAAACAGTGAACTGCTTTCTGTCATTGTGAAATAGTTGGCTTTTCCTAGAGTT